GCCATATTTCGACTGGGAAGCAGCAACCAGGGAGAAAATTTTGCAAATAAACAGCTTTAAAAGGCGTATATATTTCAAAAAAAAGCGCCACGACCGAAAGAAATGTGTCATAATAGCTTATAAATGAGCGCCGTGGCAGTGGCAATTTTTTCTCGAATGATGTGAGGGGGTCTACAACGAGAAACGAAAAAGACGCGAAATTACGGGAAAATGAAAAATCGGCTGGAGTGAGAGGAGTGCATGGGAGATGTGTTTTGAGCATATTATAATTGAGTGGAAGCATGGAGAGAGGTATGTAGGGCCATTTGTGTGCGTAAAAAGTGGATGGTAATGTTGTATTGCTGATTGGTAGTGTGGACGTTTGTAGCGTGCAGAATCCTCTATAGCTCAGTTGGTAGAGCGTACGGCTGTTAACCGTGAGGTCGCAGGTTCGAACCCTGCTGGAGGAGACTTATTTTTTATTTAGGCCATCCCGTTATCCTTTTATGGCCTCTAAAGATTTTAAACGAATCTCTTGTAAATTATCCTTTCATTTTATTCTTTTAATCCCATTTTGGCCCGGAAGCGAATCAAAACTCCGTTTTTCATTCAGTTACGACTAGCGCATCTCGAACTACACGTTCCTCACTTCTGCTGGGTCCCCACGGCTTCTCAAACATAGAGATAACTATTGTTCGGTGCATTTTACAAAAAGTCAACTTCCAGACCTTTGTTGATCACGCCTGTTTGCGTACAACCTCTCGAGACCTTTAGGAAGCACCCCAGAGTATAAAAGAGACCACCGAAAAAAACTTCAATCTGGGCTCGGTCTCGCCTCGGCGGCCATGGTCACGTGCATGGCCATAATGTTGCAAATTCGAAAATATTTAAAATACTTTTCAATAAACAACTACATGACTATTCTGACAAACGGCGTGTCAATGTGCTAATTTGCGGCTTCCCTGGTCGCTCGGTGATTTTTAAATAATTTAATTGTAATAATATTACATTCTAATAGCTTGCACTTTGCGCAGGGTTCGAGTGCTGCAACTTTTCAAATTTGTCGTGATGATGCTCCATCCATCATGCCAGATCTATACACCAATGTATGGCGTCTCATTGTACGATGTAGATACCTTTTGACGAAGTACATACCTTTTGGAAACGACCGCATCTATGGCATTCTAGAGACATATGAAGGGCTTGGTGCCCATGCAAATCACACACAAATATAGG